CCCGGCTAGAGCGGCGAAGGGACGACGCGACCACGCCCGCCTCGATGGTTCACGGGGTTATTTTGTGTCGTTCCCAAATTGTCTCTGTTTTTGTTTTGTTTTAACTCCTGCGTGACATGGCCGGGAGGGCTCCTGCACTTTGCAAAAAGGCGGGAGCAGATGCGCTCGAAAGCGCTGCATCAAGAAGCTTTCAGTCCAGGGCAGAGTCAGGCATGTAGTGGTGACCTGAGGTGTAGAGGACATAACTGCTTTTGCATTGTCTTCTGAACATTGGAACAGGGCCCCTAGTAGTTTGCCATAGCCATTGCCTGTCCGAGGTGGAGGATGGTGGAGGTCATGGCTATGGTGGGCCTCATCTTTTGCTGGCCGTTCTAAGAGTCTCAGAGGGGCTTGGACAATAGTTCTGGCTCAGTCATTCATTGTTATTATTATTGTTTATTGTTGAATAAGAGGGGGAGATAAGGAGGAGGACATTGGTCACCGAGAGAAGAGGGATTTGTCGTTGGTCTTTTGCTGGTGTACATTTTATTCTTCAAAATCCTCTTTCTCTCTTCCTTATACTTCTTCCTTTGTCTTGTTCTCGGCTCACGTTCTTTCATTTCTTTTGCAATTGGACGACATGGCATTTCCTTGTGTATTTGCACTTCGGAATTTGCTAGGATAGTAACACTGTTCTTCTTCCTACGAATTCCCCTGACCGGTGACAATGCACATGACAGTGGTCTCCAGTCATGACCGGTCATGACCGGGAGTCTTGATGTGGCCACGAGTCTTGACATGACCGGTCATGAGCGGGAGTCATGACCGGGCCGGTCATCGCCTTTACGGCCACATCGCGGCCCGGGGTGGGTGTTCCAGGGGTGAGGGTTGGGCATTGGGGTTGCGCACCCTGTCCCTACCCCATGTGAAGAAGAATTTTTTTTTTAATTAAAAAAAAATTGGGTGATCTGGAGGGGCGAAGGGAAAAAACAAAAAATAAAAACAAAAAACCTGATTGGAATAGATCCAATAGAACTTGAGAAAAAAAA